CGGCCTTCTAGCTTGGAGGTGCCACGAGGTTTGGCGATGCTTTCTAATGAGGCCAGCAGGGTGGAGCCGAAGGATAGCTCCAAGATATGCGACATGGTCCGGAAGTGGGGTTTAAAGTTTGATGGCCGTAGAGACCCTGTATCATTCCTGGAGCGTCTTGAAGAGCTGAGGGGGTCCTACTCTATATCATCAGAGGACCTGCTCAGAGCGCTGCCGGAGCTGCTGCAAGGCTCAGCGCTCCTATGGTACAGGAAATGTAAGGAGCTCCTGTATTCATTCGAAGCTTTCCGGCATCAGTTTGAAATCCAGTTCTTCCCACCGGGATATTGGAGGAACTTGGATGAGGAGATCCGGAAAAGGACACAGGGTGAAGGCGAACACTTTAGAGACTACGTCGTTGCCATAAGTACCTTGCTTAGGCGTAGCGGTACGTTGTCGGAGCATGGTAGATTGGACTTGGTCTACAACAATATGCGTCCCGAGTACAAGCTGTTGGTACGCCGGCGTGATTTCAGCAACCTGGCCGAGATGGTGGAGCTGGCTGAAGACTATGAGGCCTATCTGCGAGAGAAGGCGGCCTTCCGACCTCCTCCTTCACCAAATGTAGCGCTGGTTTTGGAAACCGCCTACGTTCCAAGGAAGAAAGCTGAAAAGAATCTTGAGACTGTCACGTTCGAAAGAGGTAGTTTTGAAAGACCGTCTCCTGAAGCCAAGTCAGTTGGGCAGCGGGTCGATCGAGGCTCGTGTACGAAGGCCCGCAATGACAAGGGAAGATGCTGATGGTGTGTGGTGCTTTAGGTGCCAGGATATTGGTCACCTTGCCAAAGGCTGTGGTAAGCCGAGGACCATCTCATGTTATGGATGTGGCAAACCTGGTTTGACGGTGAATCAGTGTGGATGTCGGGCGGGAAACGGCAGGCCAGCTCAGACATCAGGAGGTCAACTGGGCAAGGCCACCCAAAACGAACGACCTCAGATGAGTGGTCCGAGTGGCTCGGAAAACTAAACAGCCTGGTTGGTGGAGTAGACGAGGACCGGCTAACTTTGGACTCTAGGCCCTTCGTTGAAGTTGTACTGATGGGCAGCGTTTTTGTGGTGTTACTGGACACTGGGTCCGTCGTCAACTTGGTTGGGCGAGGAGTCGCCGAACATCTTCAACGCCTGGGGATAGAGCCTTGTAAGAAAACCACTCCTCTGAGGATGGCAGATGGGACACGGTCAATGGCCGAGTATTCGTTTCGGCTAGCAGGAGAAGCTGCGGGAAGACGGTGGATAGGAGATGCCTTGTACGTCCCCACTCTCACCACAGACATGATTCTGGGTATGGATGTCATCCAAAGACCTCGGATTGGTGACATGTGGGACAGAGGAAGTAAGAATGGGCGTGGGTGATGACTGTTCTGGCCAAGGTGGCCGCATAGACAGTGTCAAAATTGGTGACGAAGACCCCGAATGCCCTTGCAATGGAAATCCCCGTTTGGTTCCTGATGCCAAATCATTCAGCACCATGTTGGCTGGTAGTGGCTGGGAGAAGAGTTTTCTTTGTTTTGAGTTTGAGACCTGTGGTAAAGGATTCACCATTGGGTTAAGAGCCGGAGTATTTTGTTTTGGCCGGAGTTCAAAGATTTTTTTTTCTTTTGGCCGTTTTCTTTTTTTTATCCCGATGTAAGTGGGGGGTGTAACGAGTTATTTTTCCTAGGGGGGTAATTATTTGCTATTTGGCCGCGCACCGATTGTTGAGGTAAGCAAGCGGCGGCGGCGGCGAACCTGGCTAGCGCCCTTTGACCCGGCTTATCAGTTCGGATAAGCTTGGGTATCCCGGGACTACTGGATAGCCGAGAAGGACATTCTAGTGGTGGATCCCGTACAGTGAAGAAGGCAGTGTTGGTGTCCAGTGGAGACGGACGGCGTACGTGGGTGGTACAGAGAAGTGTACGGTGTCGTGTGATATTGGTGCTCAAGGAGTGAGTGTCGGCATTCAAGTTGGGTAGTGAGTCAGTAACCCACTTGTGGTGAGTGGACGACGTTTTATTATATTTTGGTTTAAGAGAGTTAGAGAGTTAGAGTTGTAACCGTGCTGGTCAAAGCCTGTCAGTAGTTAGGATTTATATTAGTCAGGAATAATATTAAAGTGTATTCCTGACGGTTCTGGGCAGGTGCTGGAGCGCAAATAATATAATTTATTTGACTGTAGCAGATATTATTTTGCGTTGTACCAAGAGTTAGTTATATTACTAATAACTCTGAGGCCCGACAAACCTAGGCTGCACGATTTAGCGTGCGTAGTTGGAAACACGTGGCCAGTAGGCTAGTAGCTAATATTATTGGCCTATTAACAGAAGCCCAGCTAAGTAACATAAAGTTGGTAGTAGCAGTAGCAGTAGTAGGGTTGTTATTGTTTATTCATTTGATTATTTTAATTTAACCTGAACAGCTTGCTTAGTAATCCAACACGTTAGCTTGGTAGCTTGGATAGCGGAGTACCGGCTATCAGATAATATATTTATCTAGTGTTTGGAACGCATTTAATATTTATTTAACTGCTACTAAGTAGCTCAATATTTTAATAGTGCAATTGCCATTTAGTTTTGCTTGTTTGGCTTGGTATTTATTGAGACCAGCTACTAGTGGTGTAGTCACTCTACCTATAGTGTACTTGTATATTATTATGTGGTACGATTATTGAGTGAACTGTTTGATTCTTAGCTTGGGCATTAGAGTTGTGTATTGGATTGTAGTGGCCTAGTAGACCCCGCCTGGTGATAACACGCGTTGTGGTTTTTATTGGCAAGTCGTCGTGTAACTCACCGTGTTTTAGGCACTCGGGGCTTAACTATTGGATAGTTAGGACGAAGCCCGAGTTGCGTAGTCAGCAACGACCCCCTAGGAGTGTGGAGAATCGGCGTAGGCCTGGTAGTGATTATTGCACGTTTGTTTTGGTGACTTGTTTTGACTTGTTCACAGTGCCCGTGTATGAGCCAGTCCTATACCGGTTAGACCCGGCTTTTGGCCTAGTGGTTTCCCTGACCTTATCGCAGACCCTGGAATTTTACCCAGCCATTGTAGGCTGAGCTATCCCCGGCAAACGGTTGCGACTGACTGCACTTTTAATATTTTTTTTCCAGTGCAGAAAATTCGTCGCAAAACAAATTATACATAACATAGAGATATATGAATATATTGTTTTGGCGCATAAGAAAATATCTTCTTCAGAAAACCATGTAACCCAGCACATTTAAATTTAACACTTATTTTTATCAAGACGACCACTTTAGTTAATTCTAAATGAAACGTAACAAGTCCTCTGGAAATAACATTTTTTCTTTTGAAACCAAAACAAAAAGCATCAGCTACTGCTGACACACAAGGGAGTCTGTTAATCTTAGTCATTTGGGGGTAGATTATGTACAAGGGTTGCAACTTACAGGACGATGTCACAACTGGTACATAACACATCTTCATTACAAACCTCTAATTATACACTCCTACGGCGCTGTTTTAGTACTATCAGCATGATATATTTTTTTAGGGATAATTAGTATTAATAATGACGATTGAAGTATATAAATGCACTTTAACGGGTAGAAAAATCACTTAATAATATTCATTAGTTTCTTTTGCAATAGTTTTCTAAGAGCTTTTAAAATTGAAGCTCAACTAAATTAGATAACATTTCTAATGACGTGTATCGCACTATACATATGTTTTTGCACATTTGTGGAACTGACGTAAACACGCTCTAATTCTGCTATTTTACAAACTTTAGAAATGTTGAAATCTCGTGGGTTAAAATTTCAAATAAGCCTATTAATATAAGAATAATTAAAATGAATGTTGGATTATAAATATTTATATTTGCATTGTATGATCATGTGGGTTGATTTTGAACAGTTAATACGTGAAAATATTAGTTTGATTCAAGTTGAACAAAAATAAATTGATACACTCAAACAGTGGTTGTGTTCTATTCCTACGTTTTACCATTGATTCGAATGGAATATCAGTTTTAAATAAAACCTTTTAAAAGCTAGTTTCACATAAACGTGTTCATCAATAGTAATCTGTCAATGACATTTAACTCGAAACATGAAAGAGGCGTCAATGGATGAGTGGAGCTGGGAAACCGACGCTATTGTTGTTGAACATTTGAAATTGTGGTGAAAAACCTGACTAATGTGCATCAATCAGTAGGTACAAACTACGCACAAACTAGGCAGAATATTCAGCACTGAGCAATGACGTAATAGCCACAATTACATGGCAATGGAGTTTGGTTTTAAATCCAAAATTTCTTACATAGTCTTTCTCTCTAGTTTTGTCGTATAGTACAGAATTTAGGATAATGCCCAACATAGAGTGACAGTAAGATTAGAACTAACTATTAAGCATTTCGGGTTGGTCTGTTAAAATACAGCAATTGAAAATATAACTATATAGGATAAATATATAGGTGATGTGGAGTGTTTGAGTAAATTAATGAAAATTAAGAGAGAAAAATAAAAGTCATGTTTTCAAGAAGAACAGAAAAATGAATCTTGTTTATTTGTACAGTAGGAATCATTTTTTAAATCATCAGCTGTTCTAAGTAAAGGCTAAAGAAAATTTTAGATAAAAGAACTGAACATACTCCCGGCCTTGAAGTGTCCTCACTTCAACAGTTAGTTTAGAACAAAACACATTACTTAACACAAAAGTTTGTTGTAGGCCGGCTATAGCATCTGTTTGCATTTTTCTACTTCTCTTTTCAACCTATACCATCTTTGCTGGGAAACACCTTAAAAACAGTTGCTAGAGACCACCGAAGTCCTAGCTCTTTGAAATGTTGATCATCAGAGTTTTGAAGGAACTTTGGTGTTTTATAATGAGATTGAGTAACAGAAGTGAACAAGTCTTGACAGTTCATAACACATTTCTTCAATTCAAAGCACTCTTGTTTCAATAATTCAACAAGTTGAGATTGGAGGATGAGCGCTTCCTCTGTAGTTTGTGATGAAGAGTAGCTATTGATTGGTCAGAGCTCCATCGGAAGATACAACCACTTGACTGGATTGCTTGACTGTCTTTACTGTAGTGGTTGCACTGTGGGTTGGGTTAACGGCAGCACTGTCTATCGTTTGGATAGCAGCCCGGCCAGTAGGATGGGTTTTATCAGTAGGGTTTATAACAGTACGGTCACTTGGTATGACAGCAAAGTTGGTAGGATGGATAGTAGCACTGTCACTTGTCAATGTAGTTGAGCTCACTGTTGTGTCTGTATTCATCGGTTGAGGTTTTGTCACTGTCACTGTGGTATTTCTAATTTTCGAGTTTGCGAACTTAGGCATAGTGTTTGCCACCAACCTCGTGATGAGTTTTGTTTCAGGTTGTATAAGCTGGATGCCTTTGGTTTTAAACTCACTTGATGGGTTTGGGTTGGTTACATTCATTACAATGGTTCTCGGAGGTTGAGCTGGACTTGATGAGTTCCGGTTGGTTACATTCATTGCAGTTGTTCTCGGAGGTTGAGCTGGACTTGATGAGTTTGAGTTGGTTACATTCATTGCAGTTGCTCTCGGAGGTTGAGCTGGACTTGATGAGTTTGAGTTGGTTACATTCATTGCAGTTGCTCTCGGAGGTTGAGCTGGACTTGATGAGTTTGAGTTGGTTACATTCATTGCAGTTGCTCTCGGAGGTTGAGCTGGACTTGATGAGTTCGGGTTGGTTACAATCACTGCAGTTGTTCTCGGAGGTTGAGCTGGACTTGATGAGTTCCGGTTGGTTACAATCATTGCAGTTGTTCTCGGAGGTTGAGCTGGACTTGATGAGTTTGAGTTGGTTACATTCATTGCAGTTGCTCTCGGAGGTTGAGCTGGACTTGATGAGTTCGGGTTGATTACATGCACTGCAGTAGTTTTATGAGGTTGAGCTGAACTGCAATTAACCTTGGCCAAATAAGGGTTAGATCCAATTTTTGAAAGCAGCACTTTAATGTAGCTGGTGATGTGGATGAATAGTTCACTGATTTGGTCTTCATCTTCAGCTAAAGTTTCAATGTTCAAATCATCTTCACTTGATGTTCTTACAATTCGATAAAAATAAGAATCAAAGTCTTCTTTCTTCTTCTGGGTTTCTTGCATGAGAGTCTTTAAGGCTTCGTGTTGCACAACTGTTAATGTTTCTTCTTGTTCAACATGTTGATCTAAGATGTTTCTTATTTCGTTGAGACGAGTTTTAATAAAAGACGTGAGTCGTGTATAAGTTTCAATTTTAAAATCACTATTTGGAGATGCCATTGTACAAGGATGATGAGATAAATGTAAAAAATTCAAAAAAGTGTAAATGAAAGAGTTAAACAGTTTCAATATGGAAATAAGAGTTCAATTAGGTAAGAGTTCAAAGGCACAGAAAACAATGGGTAAAATGAGGAAATATTGATATATGAAGAGTTTTGTGGTAGAAAGTAATTCCAAATCGCTTAAGTAATATCGTGGATCGAAGGACCATTAAATAATGTGGAGTGTTTGAGTAAATTAATGAAAATTAAGAGAGAAAAATATAAGTCATGTTTTCAAGAAGGACAGAAAAATGAATCTTGTTTATTTGTACAGTAGGAATCATTTTTTAAATCATCAGCTGTTCTAAGTAAAGGCTAAAGAAAATTTCTTACATAGTCTTTGGTTTTGTCGTATAGTACAGAATTTAGGATAATGCCCAAAATAGAGTGACAGTAAGATTAGAACTAACTATTAAGCATTTCGGGTCGGTCTGTTAAAATACAGCAATTGAAAATATAACCTAGATGTTTAGTTGTAAAATAAACACTCATCTGAAAACATTCAAAGCTATTAAATGATTTGGGTTCACGTAAACATAACATTTCTATTAAATATAATAAATAGGTTACATACCTTATAAATCCGACAAACAGCTCATTTAAATTGAAGGTCGTTTACATGTTTCGGCTTGTATCGGCCATTGTCAAAACGTTGCAGTTGGATGGTGAAATCCTTGTCATTGTTTTCTACTAAAAGTACATACACAAACACATACACACGGACGGGACGAAAACATTACGAAAAACGAATAAAACTTTAAATAGGCCTATTAAATACACGGGCAGGACGCACGCACACCGTTGTCAAGGTCAGGATGCAGACTGGACTAGTTGTGTCGGTGTTGTCTTATCAGCTGATGTGGACTGCTGACCAATGGGCGTCGAATTCTGCCTTTGTTTTAATATGCTATTGAAAATGTGATGGGATTTGAATTTAAGTTTTTCATTCAGAATTACGCTCTCAAAATTGTTGTTCTCATTAACCTGTGCCTTATAAATTTCGAATTCTTCGAGAGTGTTAAGTCTGCTTCCCTTTTGGCAAATATGTAGGATTTCAAGGCCTTTACTAATATCGTTCATATCATGGTTTTTATCGACCAAATGCTGAGCAAACGATGATTTTTGTTTTGTATTACGAGGATCTGGTCTATGCTCCTTGTATCTAGTATTGAAATCTCTACCTGTCTGCCCAGTATACGTGCTAGGACAACTGGCACAAGTTAATTTATATACCCCACATTTGTCATATTTATCACCACATCTGGTTGAATTGTTTAAAATATTTACGGAACGATTAGTTGTTCTGAAGGATAGATTTATACCATGTTTTTTCAATTGTTTGGATAGGCCGTTATGCAGAATGTTACTGTATTCAACGCAAACATACTTCTCATTGTCCTTTCTTGTGAACTCAGATTTACTGGCTTTTGATTTATGTTTGTGAATGAGCTTATCAATTAAATTAATATGGTAACCATTGGCTATGGCAGTGTGTTTTATTATGCCTAGTTCTTTCTCATAATTCGCAATAGACATGGGTATGTTCAAGAGCCTATGTACCATACTGTTGTAAGCGGCATGTTTCTGAGATGGCGGGTGGTAAGATGAGGCGTGGATTGTCATATCTGTTGTGGTTGGTTTCCTATAAACACTGTAATCAAATTTGTTGTTGATTTTCTCAATAGTGAGGTCTAAAAAGTTGATTTTATTGGCATTTTCAGTTTCCAGGGTGAATTTTAGCTTTGGATCAATGCTGTTTAAATATTTATGTAATATATCAAGTTGTCTAGCACTTCCATCAAACAACAGTATAGTGTCATCAACATAACGATGGTACATTAGTATTTTATTTTTGAGTTTATTTTTATCAGAAAATATATGTTCATTCTCAATGTGGTTAAGGTATATATCAGCCAAAATTCCAGATAATGGAGACCCCATGGCTAGGCCATCACATTGTTTGTAAAAGTTGTTGTTGAAAGTGAAATAGTTTTGATTAAGTATTTCCTTAAGTAGAACTATTATTTCATTTACTGCCTCTGGTAATAAATCGGAATCGGATAATAACTTGTTTTCAATGATGGTTAATGTTTTGTTGACAGGGACGTTGGTGTATAAATTTACAATGTCGAAAGATGCCAACGTTGAATGCATTTTTATGTTTGTATTTTTTGTCTTGTTGATAAAGTCGTAAGAATTAATTAAACTGTAGTTATTTAAAAACTTAAAGTACGTTTTCAAAATCTGTTCTAGCTTTTTAGCAACTTTGAAGGCTGGTGCTGTTGTGTAATTGACTAAAGGTCTGATTGGTACACCGCCCTTATGGACCTTAGGTAAGCCACGTAACGTAGGTGCAGAAGGGTTGATCATTCTCATGTTTTTTATTTCACCCTCAGTAAAAAGCAATTTACAACCATTTAGTATTTTCTTAATTTTCCTTTGAGAGGATTTAGTTGGATCATTATTCAATTTAACTATGCCGTTATCCCTAATAAAGTTGTTTACTTTTGTAATGTAATCAGTCCTTAGCAAGATAACAGTGGTGTTTCCTTTATCAGATTTACATAACACAGCATCGTTGTTTGAGAGCTTACGTTTGATGTTCTTCAATATAACCATTTCTTTCTTATGCATTGGAGAAACTTTACTTGTGTGGGACGGATTGTTGATCTTATTATTTAGACTCCTAGTTATGAGTACCCTAGCTGTGTTTTGGTCATCCTCATTAGGGATGGCTTTTATAGCACATTCGGCATTAATAAACTCGTCAAAAATGGCTTTGTTACCAAGTTTTGGGAGGTTATACTTTAGACCCTTTTCTAGTAATTTAGTTTCTTCGCAATCAAATACAATATTCGTGTTATTGATAACTCTAGGGTAAAAATCAAAATCAGATAAAATTATTGTCTCTTTATCTTTTTGTTCATTTATAAGGCGTGTTAGTTTATTTTTAATGGTAAGTTTTTTTCTTTCGGATGATTCTAGTCACACCTGATTCAAGGTTGTTTAGCAGACCTTCTAATTGAGCTGGATGAGTTTCATTTGAGAGCTCTAAATATTTGTTCAATAACAAAGAGTTTAGCATTGATTTCTTTTGGTATAAGGATTTAATTTCGTTACGAATCCAAATTTTTTCAGCAATTGATTTGGTTCTACGTGCTGCTTGTGACTGGTTGTTAATTCTTATTTGGACATAATTAGGCTTGATATCATATTTTAAACATGCTTTGTTAAAACGGATGTTGTGTACTGTGTTGAGCAGTTTAAGTTTAGTATTCTTGTACTGCAAAGCTAGGGATGCCTGTCTGGCTGAAGAATTAAAATTCATTTCCATTCTAGCTCCTGATATATTAAACAATTCAACCAGATGTGGTGATAAATATGACAAATGTGGGGTATATAAATTAACTTGTGCCAGTTGTCCTAGCACGTATACTGGGCAGACAGGTAGAGATTTCAATACTAGATACAAGGAGCATAGACCAGATCCTCGTAATACAAAACAAAAATCATCGTTTGCTCAGCATTTGGTCGATAAAAACCATGATATGAACGATATTAGTAAAGGCCTTGAAATCCTACATATTTGCCAAAAGGGAAGCAGACTTAACACTCTCGAAGAATTCGAAATTTATAAGGCACAGGTTAATGAGAACAACAATTTTGAGAGCGTAATTCTGAATGAAAAACTTAAATTCAAATCCCATCACATTTTCAATAGCATATTAAAACAAAGGCAGAATTCGACGCCCATTGGTCAGCAGTCCACATCAGCTGATAAGACAACACCGACACAACTAGTCCAGTCTGCATCCTGACCTTGACAACGGTGTGCGTGCGTCCTGCCCGTGTATTTAATAGGCCTATTTAAAGTTTTATTCGTTTTTCGTAATGTTTTCGTCCCGTCCGTGTGTATGTGTTTGTGTATGTACTTTTAGTAGAAAACAATGACAAGGATTTCACCATCCAACTGCAACGTTTTGACAATGGCCGATACAAGCCGAAACATGTAAACGACCTTCAATTTAAATGAGCTGTTTGTCGGATTTATAAGGTATGTAACCTATTTATTATATTGAATACAACAGCTCAGGAGCTAGAATGGAAATGAATTTTAATTCTTCAGCCAGACAGGCATCCCTAGCTTTGCAGTACAAGAATACTAAACTTAAACTGCTCAACACAGTACACAACATCCGTTTTAACAAAGCATGTTTAAAACATGACATCAAGCCTAATTATGTCCAAATAAGAATTAACAACCAGTCACAAGCAGCACGTAGAACCAAATCAATTGCTGATAAAATTTGGATTCGTAACGAAATTAAATCCTTATACCAAAAGAAATCAATGCTAAACTCTTTGTTATTGAACAAATATTTAGAGCTCTCAAATGAAACTCATCCAGCTCAATTAGAAGGTCTGCTAAACAACCTTGAATCAGGTGTGACTAGAATCATCCGAAAGAAAAAACTTACCATTAAAAATAAACTAACACGCCTTATAAATGAACAAAAAGATAAAGAGACAATAATTTTATCTGATTTTGATTTTTACCCTAGAGTTATCAATAACACGAATATTGTATTTGATTGCGAAGAAACTAAATTACTAGAAAAGGGTCTAAAGTATAACCTCCCAAAACTTGGTAACAAAGCCATTTTTGACGAGTTTATTAATGCCGAATGTGCTATAAAAGCCATCCCTAATGAGGATGACCAAAACACAGCTAGGGTACTCATAACTAGGAGTCTAAATAATAAGATCAACAATCCGTCCCACACAAGTAAAGTTTCTCCAATG